ATATCCTCCTTGTCCTAAGAAATTCAGCAGACCTATAGTCATCTGCAAACACTCTCCCTGAGTCTCTGCAGCCAACAAAACGTCATCTACATATTGCAGTATTGTTCCTTCCGGGTTTTCCTTTTTCCATAATTCCAGCTCCTTTGCCAATTGGTTGCCAAATATTGTTGGACTATTTTTAAACCCTTTTAAACCGTCCAGGCAAGTTGTGTTTTGTGATGGTGGTGGGGCTTTCCCATTCAAAGGTGAATATCATCTGACTGGCTTTGTCTAAAGGTATGCAGAAGAAAGCATCCTTGAGATCAAGTACAGTAAAGCACTTACGCTTTTCCTTTAAGGATGTCAGCAAGGTATATGGATTAGCCACTACCGGGTGAATATCTTGAACAATCTGACTCACAGCTCTTAAATCCTGAACTAATCTATATTCCTTGCCATTTTGCTTTTTTACTGGCAATATCAGAGTGTTATATTCTGATTCACATTCTATCAATAATCCATAGTTCAAAAATTTCATTATTAACTCTTCCAACCCCTTTCTATCCTCCCACTTAATAGGATACTGTTTTTGTCTTACCGGTTTAGTTCCAGGTTTTAGAACAACCTTTGCTGGTTTCACCAATTTAGACCGACCTGGGATTCCACTAGCCCATACCAAAGGTGTTACTGCATCCTCTACTTCTACAGGAATTTCTTCTTCTGGTTTTTGCGTATTCTGTAACATAAAAATTCTTGCTTCCACAGCTTTTGATTCAGGTATTAGCACCTGTACCTCTCCATTCTCAAAGGTTATCTGTGCGTCTAGTTTACTCAATAAATCCCTTCCCATCAAGGGTATAGGACATTCAGGCATATACAAAAATTGGTGAGTCACCCATTGTTTTCCTAACTTAAATTTTAAGGCTGTAAAAAGGGCTGATTTTCTTGTTTCCCTGTGGCACCAACAATGCTTACAGTTTCATGGCTAAGGCTTCCTTTACAAGTATTAAGTACAGAATAAGTGGCTTCCGTATCAACTAAAAATTCTACCTCATCGTTCCCCAGCCTTAGTTCAGCTGGGGATGATTCCCCCGGTCCCCTTCAGGATTCATCATCTGACGTCATCAGTGTAATGGCTTGTAAGTTCCCAGCCTGAGGACATTCCTTTTTCCAATGCCCTGTTTCTTTGCAGATTGCACACTGATCTTTCGCAATATGGGGTTGCACAACAGGAGATGATCTTCCCTTTCCCCTCCCTCTTCCAATCCCCCAGTAACCCCTTCCTATTCCTCCCCTTCCTTCATAGGCTCCTCCAGGAGCCCCTGTCAAAGCAGCAATCAATCTCCCCTCTCTTAGGTTTTCCCTTCGAGCCTGTCATGTCTCTTTTTCCTTCTCCCTATTACTAAAAATCATCCACAATATCTCTAACATCTTTCCCAAATCCCTTGAGTCTGCCCCTTCTAATTTTTGAAGTTTCTTTCTTATATCTGGGGCCGACTGTCCCATAAAAATAGAAGCCAATTGAACAGCCTCTTCTGGCTTTTCAGGGTCCAAGTTAGTATATTTCTGGGCAGTGACTTTCAATCGCTCCATGAAGGCAGACAGATGATTCATTTGGTTCTTGTTTAATCTCATATAATTTGGACCAATTAATCACTTTCGGCATAGCGTGCCTTATGCCAAATAATATCCACCTCTAATATCTTGTTAAAAGCCCCCAGGGTCCTGGCTGGTTGGGATCCCACCCTGGCTCTGCGGGGGAGAAATTTTGATCTATCATTCCCTGCAAATCCCCATTAGCATATGCCCCTTCTACTTGTTTCCGAGCAGTGTTTAATACCATCTTCTTTTCAGTACTGTCTAGCAATGTGTCTAATATTACCTGTAAATCATTCCAATCAGGGTCTTGGGTCCTGATTATAGTTTCAAATACTTTAACCACCCTTTCTGGGTTTTCTCTATAAATACCCATCGTTTCCTTCCAGAACCTTAAATCCGTTATTGAAAATGGTACTTTAACTGTTACTGGCCCATTATTTCCGACTTGCTGGAGGGGAGCTTGTAAAACCTCTCCTGCTTCCCCTTGTCGTCCCCTCGTTCTTCCTGCAACCGAACTAAATCCTTCTGCCCGACCAGATTGCCCTTCTTGTTCATAGCTACTTTCCCTTGATCCTTCCACACCACTAGCCTCATTGGCTCGCCTATGACCGCTTTCTCTTGCCCTGCTTACACAACTGATTTCATCATCATTGTCAGGACTTTCTCCCAACCTCTGCTGGAGAGCAACCATTAATTCCAAATCATCATCTTCCTCCTGTCCACATTTCAAACATCTCTTCCCAATACTACAAGCAGAACAACATCATTTTAAATCCCTACCACTCCCTTCTTTTTCTAGGGCCAAGATCATAGGGTCCTGTGGGATTATTCCGCATTTCTTCTGCCATTCCGTGTGATTTCTTAGTGTGAAAAATAAAATATGATACTTCATCCTATTTACCCTCCCGCCTGCAAAAGAACATTAATTGTACTATAGTATTATATCTTAGAGTTCCATTTTTGGGCCATTTTTCCTGATCTTTGAGAGTGTACATTGGCCACCAACTATTACAATACTTCATAAGCTGTTTTCGAGTGAGAGGGTCCCCCCCCCATTTTCCCCAATGTTTCAATATACATCCTAGGGGAGATCTTTTCAGAATCCCCCCTTCCGCAGAGGGTTTATTACCCATTGTAAAAGATACAACGCTAAACACAAAGACAATAACTTCACACAAAACAACCAAAAATATCAACAGTATCTGCAACGCAAAACACGAAACCAACAACTTCACACAAAATAGCCACAAATAGCAACAGCAACCCAAAACACAGAGACAATAGCTTTACACAAAACAATCGAAGGGGACTCAAACCCCTATATTACCTTCAGTGGGACTCTAACACAGGGGACTCTAACCCCTATACCGGTTTCGGTGGGACTCTAACCTACCCCTTCAGCCAAAGGTTTCCAAACCCGGGTGCCCTACAGACTTTCGTCCAGTAGGATCCAAACCTTCCCTTAAGTACCTTTATAGCCCAACCTTGCGAGGCTTTCACCATGCCTTACAGGCAGGCAACTGCCCTTTTAAAGAAAGGAATGCTTTTACCTTCTTGCTCAAGCTCTTCAGTCCAGGGATCGGAGATTCTCCCCGAGAATCCCTCAGTGCCAGCTGGAGGTCCTGCGATCCCACGGATCCATCGACATTCGGAAGTAGTGTCCCACCTGGGTCGCCAAAACTGTCACGGAAATCGGGAATAAACCTCTTAACCCCAATGCAGCATTAAGAAGCAGGCATTCTCTTTATTACAGCGCTGGATACACAGGGGATTGTACCACCTAACATGGATGCTGCGTGTTGCATCAGTTACAGCTTATATCGTTGTCCTGGTTCCGGCTGGGACAGAGTTAACTTTCTTCCCAGTAGCTTCCGGGGTGTGCTGTGTTTTGGGTTTGGTATCAAAGGAGCATTGATGGCCCATTGATGCTTTGGCTGTTGCTGGGTGATGCTCGCACGGGGCGGGGGGAGCACAGCCGGGGTGGTGGACCCAGCTGGCCAAAGGGGTATTCTATACCATGTGACATCAAGCTCAGTATAAAAACCAGGTGTGGGGGGGGGCTCGCCCCCCCGTTCGTGACACGCGGCCGCTGGCCGGTGAGCAGTTGGCGTGTGCCTCGCCTG